TATATATATATATTTTTTTTTTTTACTGGAGACAAATTCCTGTTTGTTTTAACATACTTGGCCAATAAAGCTAATCATCATTTCTCGTAATGATAGCTCTCTCACCAAAAATTATTGCGAATTGGTGTAACTATCGCCATTCACTGAAACAAGTCAGAAAATATTTTATAACAATGTCAATGCTTTTTTTTCTGTTCCCACAGAACTTTTTAGTGTAATCCTACATGAGCATTTTTGACCTGATTCTATTTATTTATTCTTATCATGTTATCCTCCGTCCTCATCTTGTCTTGATGAGAAATTGGCCAGTATATTTATTTACACAAGGCTGTGGAATTGACTCCTCCCAGGATGAGGGTTGGGAATCAAAGTGTGTCTTTGTAATCTCACGGGATGTGGGGAAGAATGTCAAGAGCAACACTTTGTCCAAAGTCGAGGAGAGTGACCTGAGCCGAGCCGAAAGATGTTCTCTGCTCTCATGGCATGTTCACTGAGGGGCTCCAAAGTGATGAAAGGCTTCCAGCAGGATCACAGGTGTATCATCCAGCACAAGCCAGCGAAAGACAAGATCGGACCAGTGGTAGGCCTCACACTATTCTTGTTTCAGTGAATATTACTTTTTAAACTCGGAAGTAAACACATTTAAAATTGTCAACCAAACAAAGTCATATTGTGATAGAGCACTTTATGGACTATGATGCAAGGAAATCAAGCGAAGTGTGCTTCCCCGGCTCACGAGCACAGCAGAGGAGATGTTTTATTCATTTCTTATCCATAAGTCAGTTGAAGGCTTAGGGATCCTGATGGAAGTGAAACAGAGCGGCCGCTTGTTTACGCCACAATAAATGCGTTGATCTGTCCTCAGGGAAGTGCATATGCCCGGTCCATGTTGGCAATATACGAGAGTGAGTGTGACAATGAACGAAAGTATCCAGAACGGAAGGTGAATTTGGGAAGATAACTTGAGGAATCGGTGAGATTGACATGTGCACTCGTCTGGCCCGTCAAAGACCTGATCAGGCGTGTTAGTTATTGTCATTCTTCAGGAAAGTGGTTAACTCATGACATAGACTCTATTTTTCTAGTGATTTTTTAAAATTTTTTATATTGACTACTTTACAGCAAGCGGCGTTCGCCATATGTGTGTTTGCTGCGACTCTACTGGCCCCAGCTGGATGGATCTTACACCATATCCCACACTACCGACAGAGAGCATCTCCACAACACCATGACTGTGGATCTTCTTGCAGTTAGACCCAGTAGTATTTGGACAATGACAGAGCTTTTATGATTTTGCCTTGATACAAATAAAATGACCATTACAAAACAAAATTAACAATATGAGTTTGAAGCTTTCATTTGAGAGGTTTCATTTATGTCCAGTTATTTCATACATATTACCTCCATCAGGGGCTCCATATTTGGGCAAGGTGACATGATTTTAATATCATCAATTTAATAGTGCAGATTGACTGACTGGAGTGTGGCGACCTTAGACATTACCAAATTCTAACGTTCCTGTTGTACACCACTGCAAACTTTAATCACAATAATAAACATGTATTTTACAGTGAATGTGTATTTATTTACCACATAATCTTTTTACATAACACTTGCATATAATATTTGACTCCCCTCATGTACCGACAGGATGTTGCTTCTCATCAGCTGGATATGAGATGGAAATACTCCAAAAAAATCCTTGGCACTCAGTCAGTTCTTCGCTCAAAACCCTCAAGTCCTTTTATGTTGTACTTTCAGCAACATTCTCCAGCGCCTAAATTCAAATTTCTTTTGCTTTACATGTATAAAACCAGATTATAGTAGGAGCACCGGTGGTTAAAAATGTAAAAAGAACAATTAATAAAAACATGCCATATTATATGATACTACTGTACAAAAATATTCTTCCGGAAACGTCATGCTCGCAGTGTTTATGTGTGAAATTGGCAGCCATCTGTTGCACGATTAACTATTTACATACAGAGAACACACACACACACACACACACACACACACACACACACACACACACACACACGCACACGCGCGCGCGCACACACACAGGAGTATAAATAAAAGTTTTCAGTATTTCCTTAGTTGAACCATTTCAGTTTTTTTTTAAAGGCGATATTGGATTTCCTGAATGGCAATTTGTCAACGCAGGGTGAGTCCATTTGGAAAGGTGTGTTTGTTTGTACCATCTGCACAACAGGCTTCCTCTGTTTTTTTTTCCCCTTCCCCTCGGATTGCTCTCATCCCAATAGTAACGATTTGCTGAATTAAGACGATGTTTTAATATGACTGAAAGCGGCACACAGGGAAAGTGGGAACAGAAATAGTGCACAAATCCATCGCGCACAGTGGTACGATCAAGCTGAGAGAGAGAGAGAGAGAGAGAGAGAGAGAGAGAGAGAGAGAGAGTGTGTTCACTTTTCCACCAGTGAGGGACACACACTGAAGAGGGTGCAAAAAAATATCCAAATTAATTTGACAGCGTGGCTTTTATGTCTCCACAAGTATCTCCGAAATGTCCACCAAGGCAGAGCAGTGTGAGTAGATATATATGTACTGTATGTGTTTCTGTCAGGTTATATATGTATTATGTATTTATTTATTTTTTTCCTTTAAAAAAAAAAACATTGTGGGGAGAGGACGAGGGGAGCTGTCCTTGGTAATGATCGGTTGCCAAGGCAGCTCGCAACACGTTCTCACTGCAGAGGAAGGCTGGAGGACTCGATGTGTGCGTGTGCGCGTGTCCCCTCCTTCCTCACTCTTCCTCCGCATTTCTTTGCATCTTAAAATGAAGTCCGTCGATCGTTTGCACAGCTTTTTAACTGACCGCGGAATATACAAATTCAACACAAATGCGGACAAATATATTTGAGGTGCGCTTCTGTCAAGGTCAGTTCGGTGGATTTTTTTTTTCCCCAAGCAATATGGTTGCCTGAAGATTGCCCATGAATATGCTAGGATCAGGATGGTGGCAGGCTCTTTCCCCTTCTTGTCTGTGAACAGGTGGAAAAACAACCAGTATTCTTCCATAATCCTGACTATACACCTCACATGTACTTTGATGTAACCATTAGTCATTGATAAGGTGTGACTTGTCGATCAAACTTGTTTTTTTATCGAGTTAAAAAGTTGTGGTGATGACGCTGTCCAGGAGTATTTATTTTTATTTTTTCCAAATGAGAATGAAAAATGCTGAACATAATGATCATAACACAAGGTATGCAGAGTAAAGTGGGCTCAAACATGGAATGACAGACTATAATAATTGTGTCTGAAAGCAGTTGTTGCCAAGCTAAAAATGCAGACAAAAACACTTTCTAATATATTGCAGCACATCATAACAACCTCCAGCTAGCACTCAAAATGTATGCCCTGCATCGGACTTTGATTGCAATCACATCCGATTAATCTGATTGGATGCTCAAAAGTCAATCAGTTCTAATCCATAGACAAAATATTGGTGCTATCAATAAGCAAGGAAATCATTCTAATAAGAAAACTATAGTCCTTCATTTCAAAATCAGTATTAACATCAATGGTATGATGATCATAAACAGTAGTGTACCGTTATGTGTAGTGTATTTAATAGAATGCAAAGAAAAATGTACACGCTACAATTACAAAAGGCTTCAGTAGAAATTATATCAAGTTTTGCCCTAGAGTACATTTTTATCAGTCACACACATAGTTATGCAGTAATTGTAAATAGAATGCAGTGAAAATACATCCGAAACCCATACAAATGCATGCATGAATTTGCACAATTAACTAGTTGGTGAAAATATACAGAATTTACCAGGGCAAAAGCTAAATGTATGCTATATAAGGCACCAACTACTTTTGTATTTGCAAAAGCCATTTTCTTAAAAAGCTGAATAAAGTGAAACGCAAAAAAAAAAAAGGCAGTATACTGTGTGTGTACCACATCTCTGGCCCACAGTCCACTAGGATAAGCTGTGATATTGAACAGGATAAACAAGCAGGGGTGTGGTGGCAATAAGACCATTTGGTACAACTCCCAAACGACCAGTCCATTCTAGGCCGACATGGCCCAGCAATTTTTTAGTGGACAGCTTATCATGTTATCAGGTTACAGGGCACATGAAACGGTTGAAATCATTTTTAAATGGGCCCGACCTCCTTTATAATCTCTAATACTTACAATCATGACGTCTTTTAGCAAGACATAGAATACCGATCAATAACTACAAGACAACTTATAAGCCTGCACGCATAACAAGTGAGTGATTTATGCCTGGCCTTTCTTTCATGACTTGCCTTTTAGGAACGTCATATTTCGATTATAATTATTGTTGTTATTTCTAGTAGGAGTAAACTCAGTAGTGAAGGTCACTTACAGAGAGTTTATTGAGCAACCAGATGACCCCAGTCATGGTCGTTGCAGTGAGGAGGTGGTGTTGGTCTTGAAGGAAGAGGGGGAGGAGCAGGAGGAGGGAGATGTGGTGGTCTTATTGGGAGAGAATGAGGAGAAGAAATAGAATGGAGCAAGAACCAGCAATAACCAGCCCAGTAGAGATGTGTGTCAGCTTGCCGTAGGTAGACAGTTGTTTTATGCGCTGTATGTTACAAAAATGAGAAGACTTAAAATCACCGTCACCGCTCATTGGTTAGTATTCGGCGCCTTCGTTGCCGTGCCTCTCTATCTCAAATTCCCGGGTACGATAAACAATATAGATGCATGGATGAACAATATCAGAGTCACTGCTAGGGGGAAGTCATTAGGCTTGTAGTCCCCTTTGACGTTTGCATAGGACTTTTCGTGGATTTTTACCTCATACGTACCTAATATTACATCACAGATTTTCCTCTACATGGCAGGATTTTACACTGATCGTTTTTCGACACAGATTAATATTACTGCAGCCTCACAAAGGAGATTGTTTCACACTTAAAAAGAAAAAGAAGAGCAAAGTGTCTACTGCAAAGCAGAAGCTTACAAAACTGCATGCCTCCCTGCCAACACAATGGCATCAACATTGTTAGATAATTTAATATAGCTTACCACTGCTAATTAGAATGTATTGTAATGCCCCCACAAGTGGTGAAGGATAGACACAGCCGCCAGTGCAGGGTAAGCATTTGACCTTGACTAAATTCGCTTGGGTGGCAAGGCCCCATTAGTGGATGAATTACGAATGGCTCGGAATGTTGTCGAGCTGTCCTGTTTCAAACGTCTATACAACGGCACATGGACATCGGGGACAGTGTCTCTAGGTTTGTAGATTTTTAAGAAAGGGGACCGGAGGGTGTGTTTCAACTACATGGGGGATCACACTACTCAGCCTCTCTGGTAAGGTCTATTCAGGAGTGCTGCAGAGGTGGGTCCGTTGAAAATTGAATCTCAGATCCAGGAGGAGCAGTGCGGTTTTCCTTCTGGCCGTGGACCAGACTACACACTCTGCAATTTTGCGGACAATCTATGTTCCTTCCCTCACCTATGGTCATGAGCTGTGACAGAAAGAACAAGATCCATCATACAAGACACTATGTTTCTGGGACTTGAATCAAGTTCCCTTAGCACATGTTGACTTGTTTGAGCATTAGGTAACCCCCCCCCCCCCCCCCCCCCCCCCGCCCCCCCCCCATGGCTTCTTATAACATCTTAGAAATAGCTCAAAAAGGTCACTTGAAGAGGTCCAGAGGGCATTGGAATCACAGCCTCTGTTTAATTTTGTAACTGGAACATCTTTGTAACATGCACGCGAGAGACACTACAATATCACATTGAAACTGAATGCATTTGAAACCTTTTGCATGTTTTTTTTTCTTTGCTCAGCTGAACATGTTTGTGTCTCAAATTTTTAATCTGCTTGTCACTCTGCTCTTTATTTTGTCTATAGTTGCTTCTAAGATACGATACTTGCAAGAGTATCACAACCGTGTGCAACACAATATTTATCCTGTGCCCTCTGGAACTGACATTGCAAACACACTGAAATACTTTTCTCAAACCCTGCTCAGGTAAGTACATTGCTCTGGAACCAACAGGTAACACATTTCAAAATGTCAGAATTTTTAGACTTGGTCAGATATATATTTTTTCTTTTTTTTTGTGTTCTCGTGGCACCAATTTTTGACACCATTACATAAATAGAATAGATAAAAAAAAAAAAAATCAAAGAGCCAAGTGAAGAAAGCCAACGACCATTGCTCTCAAAACGCAAGAGTACTTGTGAAAACAGCTGAGGTGGAGCTCCAGGATGTTTATTGATTCAGTGGTCAGCTGCTGGCCGAACGCTTCCCTGCTGTGGCTCTCCCCGAGGGGCCTACGGGGGGCTGTTCCCCAGTTGTGGGGTCAGCCCGCTCCCACGGGTGCCGTGGAAGGCGGAGGAAAAACATCCTCCTCCAGCGCCGGCCAAGTGGGCAGCCATTTTGAACACAGTGAATCCTCGCTGTTTGTCGTCCCTCCTCTAACAACAGGATATTTCTGCACTTGACTCCATTGAGAAACTAGTGCAGTCTTGACATATAAAATGGAGGAATTATTGAACTCTGCCCCGTGTCACAATCAACTGAGTGCAAAAAAGGATAATTTTTAAAAAATCAGGTCGATTATTTCTCTGTTGTAACAATGCTTCTTAACAACACTTTTTTAAGCTGTTTGATTACAGCCCCTATTAAATGTGTCTAATCTTCACTGGCTTTGCAGAAGCTTGTTCTACTTTTGCTATTGACTCTTGTTTAGAGTCGTTGCAAGTCAGCTAGGCAATTTTGCATTGGTCATGTCTGTACTACCAACACCCACACCCAAGCCGATCCCAAAAGTGTTCAAACTGGGTTGAGGTCAGCGCTGTTGGGAAGTCACTCCTCTCTACATTCATTCCATTCTACTCTAATCAATGCCAAGACGAGGGAGCAAAAGCTGTGCCATCTTGGAGGATGGAATGACACTGTGGAATCTCATCTTGATATCTTGCTGAGATTTCCTTCAATATTGACATGGCTAATTTTCAGAGATGCACACCTGAACATCTCACTGCCATCAATGTGTCTCCTCCACACTCTGGTTGTGATTTTCATTAGTTGGAGGTACCGTAGATTCAAAACATTAGTCAGTCTTCCAGTGATATACAGTGTATTGTTACGACAGAGAAATAATCTCAACATTTATTTAGGATTATCCAATATTATTATTTATGTTCACACCTAATTGATTCTTCATGCTTTGCCGTGGTTTGGTCCAGTAGGATCAACCACTGTACTGCTGCTGCCGTGTCTTTTGCACAAATACAGCAGAATAGACGCTGAAAGCCTGACAATCTGTCTCAAGTGACGATGTCATCGAAGTGAGAAAAGGAATGACTCAATCCTTTTTTTCCGGCAAGCTTCATCCTGCCCGCCATTATAAATGCAGAGGGAAAGCTTGCATGTTCACATCCTTTTTTTCCAGATGCAGGTTAAAAAATTTTATCTGACCATTTTAGCAGCAGAAAAAGTATGATTATGCTTTTAATTATTGCAACACATAGTCAGTTTTTTTTTTTTAAGTTGACAGTCTAGGATTGGACAGCCAATGTCACGTGTCTGTATCAGTGCATTTCTACATGTGTTTTATGTGTATATGTTTGGACTTTTGTGTGTGTGTGTGTGTGTGTGTGTGTGTGTGTGTGTGTGTGTGTGTGTGTGTGTGTGTGTGTGTGTGTGTGT